AGGATGCTAACCGGCCTCTTTGATTCTCAAAATTTGGGGAGTTTAGGGTAGTACTCACTATTTGCTACATGATTCTTGCTTATTTATCATTCTCAATTCCTCTGAGATTTTCTGCATCTCTCTACACTAAACTTTTAGAGCAAATTTCGAAAAGGTTTGAAGGTCCCATCTGGGAGTAGAGAAATAAAGACATTGCTGTCCCTTCTTTTTTTTCCTCTCCCAAATCAGTTACTTTAGGAACTAGAACTGTGCACAGAATTCTTTCTCCTAAATCTTAAAAGCTGTGATCATTAAATGAATGAAGTACTACTGCTTAAAATATTAATCTTTCTATGAAATTATTTAATGGTAAATTAAACTTTGACTGAAGATGCTATGATATTTTATATGCTGTCAAAACCCTAATTTTTAGTATATATCATTAGTAAGATCTTCAATAAGAGCACATATCCAAAAAAAAACCTGTCATAGTATCATTGATTGTTATTCATACAATAGAATATCTTGAAGTCTACATTATCCAACAAATCACCACAATTTACAAAAGCTCATATTTTGAATTTTATGTATTTTTATTCTTTACTCTGCCTTTTGATCCTTTAATGAGCATGTTCTCAATTAACATTAATTTGTTTCTAGCACTCCATTGTAGGATAATCGACCTACAAACATCAAGTATTACTCCCAGCTACTTTCAAAAAGAGAACTGGAAAAAGATGTTAAATTATATGTCTGTAGAAACTACTATCTTGACTAAAATAAAGACTCCATATGGATATGTTAAAAAGGTAAACTATTATTAGGATTTTCACAGGGAATGAGACTTCAGATCTGGAAGATACACAACTTCCATACAACAAAACGTCCTGTTTTAAATTTTGTACAAAGCCCTATGTATGACCACAGAACACATAATACAAGCTGATAGGGAAAACATTACATATTCTATACTACAAAATCTTATGTTCAAAATGTTTCAGAATATGCCTTATTATTTGCTTTTTTTTTAAAGAGGGATTAATTAAAAAAAAAAAAAAAAAAAAAAAGTCAGCTTCCAGTGATGAGGGATATAACTGAAACACCAAAAAAGTCAATGGAAATCTGTGCACTCTTCATAGCAAAATTTAAATCAGACACTGCCTTAGAAAAAGAAAATTAATCTCAGAGCACAATACCTTCATATATATGTGTGCATGTGTGTGCATGTGCATCTGTGTGCTTGTGGTGGGTAATGGATGGGTAGTGTGTGTGTGTGTATATATATGGGTACACAGCCATACATATATAAACACACAGTTACCATTATTAAGTGTAAAGGGTTAGCAAGCAGTACAAGGGAAAAGACTGCCTTTCAGACAGGGCTAGTGCACCGTTAGTGGGGTTTTGTTTCATTGCACTACCACATACACTTTCATAAATATTGCTGACAAACATAATATGCAAGAAAGGAACATTTTTCTTAGTCTGATCAAAGATGCAAAAATCAAATCATAAAACACAGAACCAATAGCCAATCAATGTGAATAAGTCTGCCCATAGGCTTAGTTCAAGCAAGCCATTCACTGAGCTATGTGATGGATCTGTCAAATCCAATACAGCATTACAGACATACTAGCAACACCAAGTGAACATGCAATGACAAAATGACAATACGCCCCACTGCCATGCTTTGTTCTATGTCATAAATACCAAATTCGATGACTTTGCTAGCTTCCTTAGTTCAGATTTATATAGAAATCTAACAACAGGCTCTCTCTCTAAATACATACAGATATATTATACTTCTACAATATTACGTGAAAGCTGGGTAGAAGCTGCATGGGCATTTTAGTGACATCTGATTTAATGTCTTTTGTATATCATTACAGTTATAATTGCAAACAGTACCAGTTTAGCAAGTTTGGGAGGCAAAGCTCCAGATGGTGAATTTTTTGTTCCAATTCTTCGAAGAGGCTCAAATATTTAAGACTAATTACTATAGATCAAACAGAATAAGACTCCCATTCTACTTTTTTGAGTGTTATTCAGTGATTATATTGCATCACAAATAACATAAAATGCCTTTTTTTTTCTTTTGGGTTTTTGTTTTATTTCAGTGTTGTATATCTAAGAAGTGACCGGACATATTTTCAATTCTGAATTTATTTCTCTGAGTGAGGACATGATCTTTCTTTACAAATACTTTGGATTTTGCTTTTATTTGTTTCCTTGCCATTTGATTGTCTCCTACACAGCAGCTCTTCACTTACATCCAGCAATACTTCCAAATGTGACAAACACGGATACCATTGCATTACTTCACAGTAGAGCTCTATTACAGTGATCATTATCCATTGACTTGCTATATTGATTCTAGAGTCCCAGATCTTTCTGTTAACCTTTATTTTTAATTTACCAAAATATGTCTCCAATCTAAAGATTTGCTCTTTCCATCTGTACAATTAAAGAAACCTGTCAAATATGGAACCTTGCCATTCATCATGTATATGATCTGTGACCAAAAAAAAAAGAAAATTAAAACAAAGCATTATTTCCATGTTATGGCTCTGCCTCAGTAATATATTCCTATTCCCACTCACTTCATTTTACTGGGCATGGTTTTAAAATGAACAGTAAATATATTTCATTTACAATTAAATGAAATAGGGGTTGAAATCAAATCAACACTGAAAAGGAGCAGTGCATAATCCAATACGGACTCTTCACTATTATCACTGGGCAGCAGGTGATTATTACATTAAGAAGAACAGATACAAGCAGTTGTACTGAACTGTATTTCAGCACTTACTGTGCAATGATTCACAAAAGGGTTGCTAAATTACATTAAGCGAAAAATCAATGAAAAGTTATTAAAATTAACACAAATTGTAGTGGTGAATATTGAGAGGTATCCATGTTTGCATATAGTTTCACATATGCAAAAAAAAAAAATGTTGGTTTGAGCAGATTGTTTCTGCTTTGTTTTCTTTTCTAGCTTAGGATTCCCTCATAAGGAAATTCAATTACAATATTTGTACTTATCACAAGACACCATATTCACTTGGGGGAAGCAAGTCAGACATAGGGGTAACCATATTTAAGAAGAGAATCCAATTAAAAAAAAAACAGAGATATAAAATTCATTTAAGATACCTAAAATCATGCAGCAAATTCAGGTTATGACAATTCTAATTATATGTAAAGTGCATCTGCAAATTAGAGATTTTTCTTTCAAAAAATAGTTAAGGCTATCTTCCTCAAGCAAATCCTTTATTTGTTTTTATTGCCAACTTTTAGTGGCGTTTACTCTCTACAAATAGCAGAACATGTGATTTGTTTTATTAGAAGTTACACTAATTCATAGTTAAAGATTTAAAAGTCGTGTTGATATTGATCAGTTTCTCTATGTAATATTTTGGAAATTCACGTATTCATAGGAATAAGCACCCTACAAAATGACCCAGAGACCCTTGAGTGATATCTGACAAAAATGGCTAGCCACAGTTGGCTATTTATAATTTTGTCCTTTCATTTTACTCATCTTTTCATTTTACTCATCTTTTTACTCATCCCTATCCCTGCGCCATGCTAACAACACGCCTTTGTGGAAATGAAATGGAACTACGGAGTAGCACTTCATCTCAGAGGTTACCCTCAGGAGAAACAGGACATCGCAAAGAGAGTGCAAACAGCAGGATCTACGTTAATATTATCCACCCAAAATTAATAGAAAGTAACTTGCTTACCTGTCTGACACAGCATGCCTCAGCCACACATGCAATTTGTTTTATTCACATAACTAAGAAATGTATCTTCAATACCCAGAATAAGCACTTGAAAGGCAAATACGCATGCATGGCACTGTAACATTCAGACCATAGTACTTTATTCTAAAATACTGAATCCATGAACAGCACTTCAGTCCAAGAAAGAGTTCACTGAAATTTCTTAATCCTTTCATTGCTTTAAGAAACAGAAGCATTTAAAAACCATGGCTAAATTAGCATTTAAAATTATTTTTCAAGACATTTCAAAATTTGAGGATTTTTCTCCCTGATTTCAAGGGAAAATTTTCTTGTATCAGGAACACAGAAGTGCAACCACACTTCTTGCTATTACAGTGAATTGTAAGATCCATCTTTTGCAATACACATTCCTCCTTTTATGACTGCATACTTTTCAGGTATTTGAAAAGTATTAAAGATAGCATTGATTTTATTAAAGGAAGAATTTCTTTTAGCAGCAAATAGTATATCATGTCCATGCATTGCTAATACTAATGATGTTTGACAAAATCCTACTTCTGTTGAAGTCAATAGCAATTCGGACACTGACTTCCGAAGGACTACTATTTTCCTCCTGCAAGAGGAATTAATTTCATTGGCATGTCTGTTTGTTGGGTTACAAAAGTCATTACATGTTTTTCTTATGTAGTTTTTAATATAATTCCTAATACTATTTTCAACAAATATGATTTATATTTTTATGATAAAATATACTGGAAAATAAATGTAATTCTGATTTTTTTTCAATATTCCAAAAAATGTCTGGAAAGCAAGCAAATAGGAAAAAAAAAAGTTTTCACTCAGATAGTTCAAGCTTAGATATTGTTCTTTCTCAATTTCCACTGACTGAAACAATGTCAATGGGAACTGAGGGCATTTAGTAGGTTTGGATTCTAAATCAACCAAAATAACACTTGTAAGACAAATAATGAGCTTAAATAACAGATCATAATGAAGCTGTACGTGTATTTATCTACATTGCACAAGGGTCATGGACATTAACTGTATGATCTACAGCTTGGGAATGTGCATGCCTCATGCCTGATTCACAATTTCTCGGTTCCTAAAATCTCTCAATTTATGGCTATTCATGGATTATAATAAAACAGCCTGCTTTAGGTACCACAGTTATCTGCAGAGCAACAAGACAATTATGAGACTTAAACAAGGCAAATTCATAAAATCATCTTCAGCTTCCACTGGTCAAGTATTTCTTAGCAATACATCAGCGCTTACCTGTCACTGTAGGCAGCTGCAGTGGCAGTGGCAGGCTGGGCATACCGGTAGGCAGCATAACCACCCTGAAACACAAACTCACGCTCTAATTGCATTGCTACAGCAGCAGCAACAACATTTTGCAAAATTGAAATATTACTGCCATGCTGTAAATCCAGTTAAGGGATCAAATACATATGGAGTACTCCGGTGAAGGGTTAAGCCGAACTTATCACCGCAAATTTGCACTTGTTAGAGTTTGTCCCAGAAATCATGAGAAAGCAGCGGGCTGTATTCATCAAAACAAGTTTTTTTAAAGACAATATTACATTCTTCTACAAGTTTTCCAGTAGCAAATATTCTTATGAACTCTCAAGATTTTGGGGATTTGTATGCTGAATTAATGCTTCATGTTATATAAGTTTCTAAATTACACGTACAATTATAATGAAGAAGGAAAAATCTCTTCTTCCCTGAATTAACATTCAGCTGTATGTAACAGTAATTGCAGCTGTTCAATTAAGCAAACAGGACAAACAAACACACATTTGAAAGGAATTGTGTGCAGTGATGCATTGATTATCAAACTGTGAAAACAGCAGAGCTTCCTGTTCAATGGACCAGGGCGTTATATCAGCCATTGCAAAATGATCTCAGCATGCCAATTAGCAAGCAAGGGCCAGTCTCCGCAGATAACACAAACACTATTTACGTTCCAATTAGAATTCACCAGCCCAGAGTCCCCAGGGACTTGGGACCGTCCTATTTCCCTTCCTACCTTCCCCCAACCTGAATAAAGAGATGCAAAAACCACTCTCAGTTTTGAATGAACTGCCCCCTCTTGCTCAAGTGTGCCTTTTAATGGATTGATTTTTTTTAAGACTGTATTCATGCAAGAAAATATGCTGAAGCATGAAGCATAGACTATTCTGTGTCAACTATTAAAAAATAGTATTTTATTTCTACTATGATATTTCTGTGAATCTTCTATTTTGGTTTCACAAATTAAGAAAAAAAATCACCCCTACTTTCCAGAGAAGCTGGAAGATCATTTTGCTGCTTGTTACAGCCTTTTTCCCTCTCCACTCCTTTGCTTGGTAGAGTGTGTTCATCCCTAACATGCATAAGTCACTTTTGGTTTGAAAGACTGAGGCAGTTGATTTTTGGAAATACTCATTCAGTGCTCAACTGCTAATGCCACATCACCCTAGGAATGAGCATACATTCTACATACACTGACAACCAGTTAGAAACTCCAGGCTTTGTGTTGTCAGCACCTCTGAGGATCACATTTTTGGACCTTTTTCACGTGCTCAGTTACCTACTCAGGTTTGGCCAGATCCCTGTACAGGAGACAAATATTGCTTGCAGGTGTATTCCCACATGAGTAATCAAATGTCTTCTAATGAACATCACCACGTACAAACAGAGCCAGTAAACCATGAAGCTGATGAAGAAGATAAGGAAAGTGACACGCTTGGCCTGGCTTGTTCAATCAGGAGAAAGATGAGAGATGATAGTTTCATCTGCTCTCCTCTCTACGTTTTGGTTATTTGTTTGAGGTCTAAACTCTGCTATCAATGAGTACCAAATGGGAAAACTAAAAAGAAGATTCTTGACTCTACAAGCTCATTTTCATGATCAGCCCGGAAAATCTGGGCAAGACAGCAAGGGATTCTCTGGTACACCATGATCCTCAATTAGCCTCAGATATGACCTCTCTGCATGTGCTAATAGCCCAGTTCTAAAAGCCCTTTACTTAAAAGAGATCACTTCACCCCAACTACGTACATAACGAAGACTAAGAACAGTCCACTATCTGAAAGGATCAGTGTTGCAATATTCTTAGTCAGACCAAAATAAGACCGTTCACATATTGGCTGCTCTTAAATCTATAGACAATGGGGCTCTAAGAATTGTTTTTTACTTTCCTTTATTTATGTACCATTGAAAATTGTTCAGTCTGTGAAGACATATTTTTTTTTTTTCAAAACCTGCTTTTATGCTTACATTTTGATTTGCATTCATCAAGGAAATGCTGCTGAACAATCAAGCTAAACTCTGAACTTTATTAAGCTGCTTTGGATTCAACAATTGGGATTAGACTTGTGAGAGTCCTGAAAAGATTGAGTCTTTAGCAATAAAAGCAATAAAAAGAGACCAAAGTTATTGAATCTGCCTGAATACTTTCGAAATCTAAACTCAGGAAGTCCAGCTTTTTGATACGAAGTTACTTAAGTCACAGTTATAAAATTACACTTAAAAACATTCTTAAGCAAATCATTTTTACTAGTTTTGTTCTCTGCAATCTTAGTACTTTTTATTGGGAATTGGGATGAGAATCTGTCATTGAAGCCACTGAACCCTAAACTTATGTGACAATTCTACCTGCCCATTTTCTAATTTTGAATTTCACCTATATTTTAGATGAAGAATACACTAGAATTATCTACTAGATACATAACTTTTGGGAGACATCTAATACTTATCTTCACGCTTTAGACTGCATGTGAAACATTTTAATTATATAAAAATTAACAACATAATTTGTAGTTGTAGATTTTTTGTTTTAGAAATGATTTTATTTCCCCAGAGTACATTCAAGCAGAACATATCTGACTGTTGTGCTTTAAGGTATTATTTTTAAAAAAATCAATTACTATATTAGGCTAAAATAATGTTGACTGCCTTATCTGTGCTCCCATATTTGCTACTTTCAGAAGAATGATATTACAACGTTATAGCAGATTACATTGTCTTTAAAAAATTAACTGTAACACTAATATTCCTGCAGTTCAAGCACAAAGAAACTAATTGAAATATAATATTGAGTGGGACTCTTATAGTACTGAGTGTTATACTTTATGGGACATGAGGAAAATCTGTGATTTGTGATAGCAAACAATGTCAAATACAAAACTGTTAGCCTATGCTTATTATTTTACACATAGAACCCATATCCTCAACAAATGATTTTAGTATGATTATGACTTTACAGCAGTCTACATTCAACATGATGAGGTTTTTCACTACTCAGTATAGGTCAACGTATTGCCATACACAGGTTCTTTAAATGCTACTCTATAAAAAGAACAGAAATGTAATGATTTGAGTGAGAAGGGAAGGAAAGAGACAAGGAAGGACAGACATCAGGCAAATTCACCAAAGCTACTCCTTACAAGTTTCCTCTCAATGCTTCACACATCTCTGTGGCTCAAGCAAATTGAGAAAGGTCAATGAGATCAGCGGAAGATCAGAAATCAGCAAAGTAATCTCAAACATGTTTGCAAGTGATCACAGAATATTCAAATAAGCTAAAATAAAATAAAAAGCTAGGGAAAATCAATTATAGCTGAATTGTAAATAAAATGTATACATAAGTAAAAAAAATGTTTACACAAAAACAAGTCAAACACATGTATGTACATAAAAACATGCATGAACATGTATGCACCCTGCTAAAATAGGTATTTTATTTGATCTTGATCTCAGATGAGTCAACATTGTTTTTTGTAGATGAGCATAACTTTCTCTCGCTAACATAGTGAATGTTGAGAATATTTCTTCCTCATGTCTGCTTCCTATACACCCTTTCACTCAAGGTTCTCAAAGTATTTTGTGAACTTGAAATTAATGAAGGGTCAAAACTTCCTCTATTTTTGGGAATTATATCTGCCTTACGACCTAAAAACAGAGAAGTTGGGTTAAAAATGGGATAAATTACACCCTACGAAGTACAGAAAGAAGAAACAATCGTTTCCTCTTCCTGTGTTCATACGATATCGAGGTGGAAGCAGAATGGACTGTAGGACATTTTGTCACTACAGCTCCAAACATTCGGCAGGCATTGGAGGAGAACTGCGGCGGCCAGTGCACCAAGGGTGTGATATATTGATTTTTCGTGACTTTTTTGTGATATTTGATTGTGGCAATGAATCCCTTTCCTGCACAGACCTATCTCATCAAGGGGATGTTACTTAAATAATTAACACACTTTTAACCAAAATGCCTGCTCTTTCCTTGGGAAAGAAGCACATGCTCCACCCTCAGTACTGTCATATCTTTGGGCTAGAAGAGATGGCATCAGCTACTGATAAAACTGCTTCTGTGGCTGTGCTCACAAAAATGACTTATTCTTGGTCACCACCACATAAGAAATCCATATCTACCTTTGTATTTACACAGCGCCTGGTCCCCTCGCTATTACAGTGCCACAGTTTTGGGATCCTGAGGCTGGAAAATCTTGCTATCAACATCAAGAGTGACTGATAAACCCAGCTAAACAGTATTGCTAAGGCATGAGTGAAACTGGTGTTGGCAGAGTTTGGGTGTTTTGCATGTTTATTAGCAGTATAGGAATAGATTGAAGCCTGACATGTGCTGCAAAAAAAAAAAAAAAAAAAAAAAAAAAGGCAAATGACAATGACAAAAAAAAAAAAAAAAGAAAAAAAAGAAAAAATGAGATAAAGCAGAGCTGTTATTTTAAGTGAGCATTCCTGTGCCTGTTAGTTTTTTTGTTTCATTTTGTGGAGTGCTTTGTCTTATTTCCACTGGTGTCAATCTTCATCTAGGAACTTCTATATTTGCTGGCAGGCAACCCTAATTCCTTTTTAATGACTTTTTCTCTTAGTGAATCAATACTTAATTTTAAAAGGTCTTCCTTACTTCCTAATCATCTCCTTTACTTTTCCTTGTTAAAGGCACATTTAAAAGAAGAATTCAATAGCTCAGTTATTGCAGAGGCATTATTACATTTCATACAGAAATATATGAAATATAGACTGCATTACATTACATTTAGAATTGTGGCTGTGGATTTTTCATTTTAAACTGCATTTTCCTCCCACTATTTTTACATTCTCATTCTCTTCTTTTCCTCTGGTTAGTGTTACTCCACTCTGATGATCTGTTGTTCTTGGTTTTCCCTATATCTTTTATCCAACTAGAATCTCTCTCTGTTATCTCTATTTCCTTTGCACATATGCTAGCCATCAAAAGCCTATCTATATCAATAGCTCGTTCGGAATGGTTTATAGTTTAGCATTGTCCATATTATTGTCACTACTCAATGTAATCGTATCAAAAGGAAAATTAATTTGACATACTGGTTAAGATATACTTCTGTTTTTCTGTGTTCTGTTCCTTTGCCTTTGCTCTCTGGGGTTTTTGAGGTTCTTTTCTTCCCTATTTACTGTCAGATCCTCTACTGTTTGAACCTTAATTCTGTCTTGTCACAAAGCATTTGTTCTGCACTTAAAAAGACTAGCTGAGTAGAATTATGCCATAACATTTGGGATTTAAAAAAATAACTTGGTCTGATGCAAAAAACTAATACACTCTGAATTGTATATTTTTTTATATAAGCCATTTTTTTTCTCTCTCTCCTTCCTTCAAAATACTTGAGATGCAACAAATGTGAAGAAAAAGAAGTGGTTTTATGTACAATAAATAAATAAAAACTACTTCAACAAAAATGTGGAATTCCATCAACTACTCCAAAGGTGACTATTTTTCCATGAAGGAACTAAGAAATGCAGGCAGAAATATGAGCCAGCAAGTGAATAAAATGAGGCAACAGCACTGTTTTCTTAAGTACATGAAGACTTCGTAGAGTGAAACTGAAGCTGCTAGATATCAGTAATCTTTTTCTGAATCTTCCTCATTGAAATCTGATGCTTTCGTAGACAAAATGTTAGAGAGTTTGTGAGAGGGTGAAGACCATCTTTAAATGAAAAAGAATAAAACCTAAAGTATGACTGGTGTTATTTTTAAGTATCTAAAGAGATACTTATGTTCTTCAGTAGCACTGGGGTCCAAAAATACCAACTGTAACATTAACATTTAGTTCCCACCTGTCCTTACATTAAGCAAGCCTGAGAAAGATGTCTTGTTGCTTCTCAAATTTTCAGTTTGGTAAACTGAGCAAAATGAATGTCATATTCTTCTGACAGTTTAAAGAAAAATGAAAATGGAAAACCCCACTTGAAGAAATTAATCACCACACAACATACCCTAAACAGCTCAAAAAATTGGCAGCACTGTCTTTAAGTGAAATTTAAGCAGCATACTACACTTGTGTTTGCTTGTTTGCTTTCAGCAAATGGTGATTCTCAGGAATCATAGAGCGTTATGATCTGTTACCATGACAAACTGCACAAAGATGGAATGTTAACCCATAACTCAATATTTCATAACTTAATAAACTTATAAATTACTCAATTTTTAGCCTTTTTCTCCCATCAGAAAAGTACTACACTTCCTCTATAAATTCGAATAGTTTTCCTTTTTATAAAACTTATCAAAAAAGGTCTATTTTTCCTTGTAAGTAGCTCTAAGAGATTATTCATAATAAATATAAGCAATGTTTTCTAGCACTTCCTACTGAATTTTTAATGTCCATTGCATTTTCACCTAATCTATTTCTTTGTATCTCAAGAGAAACAGTACAACAGAAGCACAATTAGGTTAAAGAAAGCTGCCCATTGCAATAAAGACAATGCCTAATTAGCTGTAATTTAGGAGCAGACTTTTACTAAAATTATGACAAATGTGAAAGATTAGTGGAATATCAACAACATGTTATAGTTATACATTTTTAAAGACTGAGCATTCCATGATGATTCAGCCTCAATCATCTGAAATTTCTTTCATTGCAGCCTATGCATTCAAGTTAAAACTTCATTATTGGTAATAAATGTTACAAAAAAAAAGGTATTTAAAATGAAATTGGTAGCCAATGAGGCTGTAATGTGAGGTGGATCCCATCCTATTGATCCTTCCTAATAAATATAACCACTCCTTACACCATGAGCAGTCTCTACCTACTTCATGCGAAGGGAAATAGGTAGATGTGAAAAGAGCAGACAGACGTCGACTCAGATAAAGGACAATACATAACTGTATCTTCAACTCATGATGGAATTAAGCTCTGCTGTCACCACGGGACTTGCACACAAGCAAAAGTTGCCTGGATTGGGGAATTCCTAATGGGGTCCATGTCTCTCCATACAGTATTTTCAGACCAGGGGTAGTAACAATACTCCATTTGCTTTGATTTTAAGGAAAAGTATGTGGGATTTGCAGAAGAATGTTTCTGTTTAGTTTTTAATCTTTACATCTGTATCCTGGAACTTTCATTTTGAAGGGAGAAGCATTTCCCCCCTCCCCAATGCCTGTGCATTTTTAATATCCTTTTGCATTCATTCAGCATTTGATTGAAGAGTTAATTCAGCTCCACTGAACAATGATAGATGTAATGAACAGAAAGGTCTTTCAATATGAGAGAGATTCTTCTCAATTCTTTCTGACAGGCAAGGGATGGTAAATAGACAAAACAGAGTCAAGCTAGGCACCAAACTTGTAAAAAGAATGACTCTGGTAATGTACAAGGACAGCATGCACATCAATGAATACTTACATAAATGTCTGCACCATAAAATCCATCCTGGTATACAACACTGCAAGGATGCACACACAAAGAAAAACATCCATATTAGTGCATTTCCACATGCAAATGCCATCAACCCCGGCAGAGCGGAGGTTAGTCTTGTCGCAAGAACAGAGGGAGGGGGAAGGAAGGCACTCTGCACATTGGTTAAGGAGGTTGGTAGTAGTATCAGAAGTGAAACTACTGAATATAAGATCTTTATAAAGTTTGCCAAATGCTTAGTCAAAGAGAGGCAAGCATGGCAGAACTACAGAAAAATTGTGATAAGTTTTTTTTTTTTTTTGAAACCTCAAATTGTCAGCATTTTTTTTTTCAGTTGGCCAATCCTGCCCATCAGGATGTTGCTACGTCAACACAATGTTAATTCACAAAATACTCCTTTCCCATCCTGTCATATCTACCAGAAACAAAGCAGTCTCTGTCTTTCCAAAAAAAAAAAAAAAAAAAAAAAAAAAAAAAAAGCGTGTATAATTAGGGAATGGAGATACTCTATCCCTTGGGTCAGAGAGCTTGGTAACTCTAGCTACACACAAGTGGGGGGTACTCAGAGATACTGTCCTGCTGGCTTGATAAACAATTAAGAATATTATAGCATTCATAAAATAGAAGTACTAACTTCCCTCACTTTATCATTGTACAACTTTGGTAAACATGATTATGGTTCTGAAATCAGCCTGCAGCTTTGGTTGGACATATTACTTCTCCTTAAGTGAAAAAATGTAGTATTGTTATGTTGCTGTCAACAGTTCACCCAGAGACTGCTGCAGTTCAGCTAAGATAAATTAGACTAATGTGACTGGTTCAGATTTTAGATTCTAAATCCATTCAGACGAAAGACACAACATGGCAAGGATAGCTTAAATGGCTACACAGAGTAAAACTGAAAATGTGCAACTGCGGCTTACCAATAACACCCACTGTTTTGCTTTTATTTTGAGAGTTCTGCAACATAAAACAGATGTAGCAAATAAAAGCCCAAGAGTTAAATATGGGAGCACACAATAGGCCTTTTTTTCTTTTTTAACATTATTTTCAATTTGGGAATCCTAGTTATCAAGTTGCTATCCTAAGCCACTTTACAATATTATGAAGAATTTTCACATCAGAAATACAAGTGATCTTTTGAGCTCATAGCCTGAAACTGAAGGCTGAATTGGTACATGGCAGTATCACTGGACAAAATTATACATATGCATATATCCATATAAACCACATTATATTTCATCAATGTCAAAAGCTTACTATAAAATAATAATGTATGAAATCCCTTGCTCACACTCATTTGAGTGTGAGTCCCTAACGCTCATTTGAGTAAAGTCAGAAGTTTACTCATGTTTTTTCCCGTATATTTTGTCCAGAACAGGACGTGCCAAGCTGGTCTACACTGGAAGCATTCAGAAGGCCTACTATTTACCTAAGAGCATCCCTGCATTTTGGTTTTGATATTTTAAGTACTTTTAAAATTACATGCTTTATCTCATACTTGTTTGCATATAAGAAATAACAGAACGTTCTGCATGAGCGTGAAGTAGAAATACACTACCAGGAACAACATGGAAAGAGTTTGATGAGATCATGATATGAAGTTCACTGAAGATGGGGAACTTTATCTGGAATTTCATATAGCAAGTTTGTTTTTCAAATGACATGCATTTGAATAAACACATGGTCACTCAAAAGAAAAGGACTTTATATTCTAAACATTCACATATCCTCTGGAAAGGATCACTTATTCCTTTGTTTAGAGGCCAATTCAGCCTCCACTTCAAAAAGATACATTGACCAGTGCTGCTATAAACATCTGTATTTCATCCTTATTAGAAAAAGTCTAAAACTGCACATTTTTATACATAATATATAAAATTTTCAGGATTATTTTCAGTAATATGCAGCTATATGTAACACAAAGTTCAAAGTGTTTCTGCATTTTCAGCTGTTCCCTCCATAAGGCTACCAATCCTATAAACAGCACAAGAGCTGCAAAAAATAAGGGTAAGCCTGTGTTGCTTTTATAACAGGATTAAAACAAAAAAAAAGAAACAAAAAACTTAGTGGAATATGCAATTCAAATGATTTTACACGAGATTAATGAGTAACTAATCAAAAAGTGCCCCTGTAAAGCTAGTATTTAGGGCTCTCATCAGCCTTCCAGCAATTTCCAGTAAAGAAACACATTTCATGTTACACAGGCATTAATCTACTCGGACTTACAGTGAGTAACAGAAATCATCCATCTTAAGAGATGTGCTTCAGAATTTGCTGCCTAATGTTACACTCAGGAGGTAACGAAACTCTGAGTAGTAGGAAGTTCCTCCTTCTCAGTATATCTTTAATGTAGTTTCTGGTTGGTGACAAACTATCTAACATGAAATACTTAAGTTCCAAAAGATGGCCAGTGAGAAAAACTAATGATGCATCAAAGCACGGGGAAAACAGAGGTAGTATTTTAGTTCTTTCGATCTGAGAAAGAATATGAGACAAAACTACTACTTCTTGTTTTCCTCTTGCTTGTTGGACTCCAGCCTTTAAAATGACCAGTGGCAGCACAGAACTGTCTCAAAATATATTTCAAAAAATAATTGAGTATCTCCATTATCATAAAAGACATGAATACAACTGATCAAAGGTTGATTAATGCCAGAAGAATGTCATTACTGAAAAACAGAGGCTCCAAGTAAAACAAGTATAAGGTCTTTGGACCTCATAGGAACCTCTAAGGACCGATGACCATCTCAACTGTTAAGCGCTAAACAAATTCTGCATCACTCTGACTAATTTAAAAAAAAAAAAAGCTATATTAGCATGTTAAAACATACTATTTTCAATTATCACGTAATTCTCTAATTTAAAATTGTATTACACTGAATTTGAAGAATGTGTGTCATGAAGGGGATCTTTTTGTCTTCTTCCTTGGGATGATCTGTGAATCTGTAGTGAAGACCTTGCAAGATGAATGGGGGTTGTTGCACTTAGAATTCCCAAATGAGGCCAGTCTTGGGCAGCCTACTTCCTTTATCCAGGCCTTCTTTTTACATATAGTGCTCAGTAATGTAAAGATGCAAATTCTGAAGTCTAAATTTGCAACTGCTTAATAAGTGATGTATCAGAAGATGTACCCTATTCTAAAATGAAGCACGGACACATGGCTCCATCATTAAACCTCATTACTAGTGAGAGGAAGTAACAGAATCAGGAAGATCAGGATAACATTCCTAAGCAGCACATGCATGCTGAAAAGGAATCAGCTGATTTCATTTGGTTTCCCCCACACAGCTTTGTAGTATGATATTATTCCTCAGTATAAATCCTGCTACTTCTTTTAAGTTTGCTTCTTATTTTTCTTCATTTTTTTTGGTAGATTTCCAGAGTATATTTGTTATATTCACTGTCTTTATCATTTTTTGACTCCCATAACTCAGTCTTACCAGTGGAGTCAAATTTATTTTATAACAGTGTCCTTCATCAGAAGGATGAAGCACAGAATACCAACAGCTATGTTCTCTTTCTTTTGTTCAGTAAATAATTCTCCTAAGGGTAATTTGGCTCATCATCTCCTCTTCTCTCTCTGAAGCTGTAAGCAGAGAACAGATGATAAGTTTCAAGCCTCGGAAGAGCCTGAATATATCACATAGGGACCCATCTCACCACAACTTGTTTTGCACTTTATATTCAAAAAATTATCTTGACAGACAGATGATCCTTGAGTTTCTTATAACTCAACGCAGGGTCTGGAAATAAACACATTATTGAAATCTGAATTGCTTCACCCAGAAACGCATGCTATCTTAATGCACTTGCTGGATGCATTAAAAATAACAGATTTGGGGAATTTATGCAGATGTACTTTATGATTTCATACTGTTCAGGAAAAATTCAGAGAATACATAAAACCTGTTTTATTATGAAATATGCCTCTAAATGATGTAATGAATATGCAGTAATCATTTTCTGAAATTATTTCTTGATAAATATGTAACACATCTCACGAGCTCACTATACAGCTGTTTTGCACTATCTGCTTTATTTCATTCTCTGTCTTCTAATATTTTCTATATTTTCTTTTTAAGTATATTAAAACAAATTCTTTACTAGGTTAGAATCCACCTTTATCATATTGTGGGGGAACTGCACTTTTCTTCCTTATCATTCTTAATCCTTATCAAGGATTAGGTTGAATACCTAATCTATCAGTGGCCTAAATTCTTGAGTGGAAAGTTCAATAACTTCATACCTGCTGAGTATATATGGCCCTCAGCCATACACACACACACACAAGTCAACATAAATAACCTAAAGCAGATTAAGTGTATGGAGAGATTGATTCTGTGCAAAAGAGAGGTGCCAAAATCATAACTGTAGCCAGTGCAGTAGGAACCATAGGTTTAGAAGAAAGAGAACTGAGAAACAAAAATTCTCTGTTGATTGCCAATTTGGTCACCTTCACTCTCTTAATGGTATTGTATGTTTTTTGGTCTCTTCACTGAAATTATAGAATACTTTTTATATACATTCTCAAATAGCTTATAAAAGAGAGGCAATTATGACCTCATTTAATATAAGCCAAAGAAAAGGCTAAATATGGAAGTAACACCTTTTGGACATTCTAACAACACAAATTTATCTGTTGTAAATACAGAACTGGAACTTTTCTGTGAGAGTTGACAGTGATAATGCTGCTCCAAACTTTTTAGAGTGTTTTCTAATTCCAGTTTGTTTCCTTTGGAGCCTTAACATTTTTTGCTATGAACAAATTATGCTATTTGATTTGAAAAATTAATCGAGGGCATCATAGCAGAGAATGAATCTGGAGAACATCAATCACTATGAGCTGGCAAAACATGCTTGTTTGCTTGAGTTATTTCAAATGTATACAAAGCACGGAGTCCAAAGTAAGAGGAAGCTTATGAGAACCCAAAGAAACCAATTGGAAAAAAAAAGAATCCCACTGTATAAAATTAGCAAATGTAGTAGCTTATATTAACTAACTTTTCTTCCTAAATACAGCACAAAGAATTAAAGGATGCACATTTTCTGGAAAATGCAGTTTCTTTTCTCTTTTGAATCAGACAGAAGGTAGCACTTGAAATTAATTATTTTAACAAAAGGGAATAGTTCCAGAATAACATCTGTTACTCCTCCTACTTCCATCTCCAATTTCCCAAAATTATTTTACTTTGAGATGGAGTTCTTGTTATTCTTCCTACATTCCTGCCCATGCTCCTCTACTACACTGAGTTTCTTTCTCAGCTACTCATCAGCATTTGTTTTACCGAGCAACTGCAATCTACTCTCATACATATGAACGGAATGCATCTCACAAACCTTCCATGTTCCAAGCCATTAAAGGCAATTATATTCTCATCCTGCTTCCGTTCCTTCCTATAGTATAGTCTACAATATATCTTTAAACCACTGGAGATACTTTAGTACAAAATGCTAATCATCCTTATTCATCATCCTGATGAATGTCCCTTTCTCCTTCTCTGATAGGTCAGAATAATGATGGGTTAAGCATGGAACAAACCATTTCAAAGAAATTCCAAATGGTATTATTATATACACGATCTTACTAGCACAAAATCCAATATACTAGGCCAAAGAAATTACTTCAGAATAAAACTGTGAACCAATGCAGCAGTGGTCTGCTAAGGTCTGCACTGATGCAAAAATTACAAAAGTTAGAGAATGCTGCTGTGTAATCAGAAAGTTTCTTATCTGACAGGATAGATGAATACCAAAAAAAAAAAAAAAAAAAGCACCAAGCAAAATTTTGAACATAGTGCTGCACTATGCCATAAATATATTTCTATCATGTATGCAATACTCATTTCAGATGCGAGGCATTCAGATATGAAATCTGCACAGGGAGGGCAATCTAACCTTGCTCCCTTCATTGCCATGCAGAAACACCTGGACTCTCTCTAGATGAGACAGTCTGGACAACAGTGGGATGCCTCAGGTGGGATGTCATCCCCAGCCAAAGCTAATGCAGGCAAGCCGTTTTACAAAAGCCACGGTGTGTTCCTGTGGTAGCATCATTCTGCTTACTGAACTGCAGTGAAAGAAAAAAAAATGCATTTGCAAAAACAACCCGTTTCTGTGGCATCACTTTCATATTAGTTGTTGGAACAGCCTAGTTTTCTGAGGTGATTCTGTTTAATGTAAAGGAACAGTCAAAAGGTCTGTCCCAAATATCCCCCCCAAAAAACAGCTCAGTGACTGACTGACTAGATGTATTTGAAAGACTGTCTAGAAAATGACATGTCTCTTGGTTTAACAGGATAAACACTGCATGGAAAAGTGCTTCCTCCCAGGGACAGATATAGGCAGCTTAATTGCAAGAGGCTGGTGAATGATCACCAAGCTAATGCAGCTGGAAAATACACCAACACTCCCTCAGTACAACAATTTCAAACACACGATGGTATCACAATATCCACAGAGAGATTTTGTGCCTCATTTGCACCACCTCTACTGCTTGGTCCTTTTCTAGCCTGCGAGTCCTGGCCTTATTACAGCTCAGCCTACATATTTCCAGCACCTCCCAAGCCCACTGCTGTGTCCAACAGTGTGGAAAGGATCCTGCCAGCATCATCTCTTGGTACCTTCCTCTAGCTCTTCTCAGCAGAGCGTTGGGAAACACGAGCAAAAAGGACCCGGTTGTCCCTGTTAGGAAGCAGGACAGGGTCACAGAATGACCTCATGCCTCAAGTTCCCTCATGGGGTGACGTCCATAGTGAGGGTAGAGCTATGGGAAGGGGAACTAGTGAGGGCAAAGAGAACAACCTCCTCCACTCAAAGACTTTCCAAACCTTCATCTAAACCATCTGGTTGCTCTACAGGGCAGGAGAACACATTGACTACAAGGTGCCAGCACGAAATATTGTTCCAGCTTTGGAGCCACTGTGTTTACTCATTTCCTAAATTACCTAATTTCCCAGTTGCCGAAAATCTTTTGACAATACCAAGACTTAAAGATCACGTGCATTATACAAAAGCCTTCCATTTCAGCATTTACAGGGCGACGAGGAAAATTTGTTTCCCTCGGAAATGCCATGCTTTTATGACATTTCTGAATTATGTGAAGTTTATTAAGTTTCTGAAAGTGACTGCTATGAATTTCTCTCCTTCTTTAATTTACTCCTTGGTCTTAGTAGCTGTAGGTCACTGACAGAGAAGTCCTAAGATATTATTTAAGCAGACATGAAAAGCATGTAGCCCTGAGGAAAGCAGCCTTGATTTCGATCTAAGTAAAGATGTTAACTAGAAAAACTAAACACACTGCTATTAAAAAAAAGAGAGGAAAAAAACCCCAAAACACTAAGCCATCATCTCCAGAGACAACTTTCAGTGAGTGATTTGAAAAAAATGAAGTTAACTTGATCCAACCTCCTTAATAACCAGATGTTTGCGATCATTGAAAATACATCTTTAGCCGGAACAATTTCTCTGTTCCGCAGCGTTCAGTCTCTCAGAGAATTTACATAACAATATGTGACACCAGAAATGCTTGAGGCTACCAACCATGGCAGTACAAATTAGAGTCATTTTTCACCCTTCTGTGCAAGGTGCAGCACTCCGGGCATGGGCTGCGTGCCGTGTTGGTCTCGGTGGCGGCCACCACCAGCACCTGCCCCGGACACAAACGCCGCCTAGCCTTGGACCTCGTGCAAGTCGGGAAGGAGGCTGCTCCGCTTACCCGCCGTAGGTCGGGATCGGCGGCGGCGGGGCTGCCGCGCGGAACGTGTTGTACACGGTGCGCCCTCGGCCTCGTAGATGCGCGCCTCGGTAGGCGGCCGCCGCCGTCGCTGCAGGGTACGGGAATCCTGGCACTGCGGGAACACAAGAGGAACAGAGAGCGCTCGGATCAGTTCGGCCTCTCAAAGCAAGGTGAAATACCGCAGGAGTTGCAAATTATTCGTCTTTTAACAAAAGGCTTAATTTTCTTGCACAAAACGTTGGTACACCAGTAGAAATTAGAAAATTGTGATTCCGTTGTGTCCCAGAAGACACTCGTTAAAAATAATGTTGACTGCCGCAGCCAACACTGCTAATGGGAGACTTCAGAGTCCAAAACAACTCAGCTCAGCATCAAGTTTACAATGCCCAAGATATTTCTGTACCATTGCTGTTTGCTCTTCTTTGGGTGAGGATGCGATATCAGACTAGGTGACCTCCAGCAGCCCCCTAAATTATTCAAATATTCTACAACTGTAACAGGCTTTTTTAAATAAGTTAATTAGCTGGGACTGAACCGTGTAGCAGGGAAAGAAAAACACAGCAAGAGCTTTCTCAGATACGGACACTGTACTTTGTTCTTAACAACTGTAATTTCTGCAAGGCAAGAGCTGCACAGTTCAGAAGTATCTATAGGAATTCAGATAACAGTCAGACCCAAGAGAAACAATTTAGGCACATGAAGAAGAAATTTTATATTGTCATTACAACTAAATGCGAACATTAATAGTCATTAGAGACAAAATATTTTCATCAGAAATTGAACTGTAGTAATGCAGTAACATTTGGAGTTTTTCCTGTAATATGACTATAAAATTTCTCTTCATAAACTTTTTAATTGAAAAAGAGAAGCAAAACTTCCTGCTCTACTTTCTCTTCCAGTTGAAGAGATGATGAAGCAGTACTTCATTTTCTCTTTTCTTCCTTTTGACACATAGCTAGCAAACATTAGAATGGGAATTTTTGAAATGCAATCAGTAATGAGACAAGAAAATCAAATCCAGCTCTGTTGGCACATATGTTATTTCAGTTGTGCTGCACTGCACTAATTTTTTTTTCAGTATGTAAAGGTACAAAATAAGTATTATCTAGTAATACTTTAATAAAAGTGACTGGAAGTAACAAAATATAAAGCAGTAACTTTTTCAAGTCTGAAATATGAACTGATTTCAACCCAGACATATTTCACCCGTTTAAGCATTAAATTTGAAAGAAGCTTTGAATTTGAAATAAAATAAAAAGTTCACAACATTTAGAAGTAGCTGACTGAATGGAGGAGGGAATATACTGCAATTATGGTGAACTATCCACTATCATCTTACTGTAGGTGCCTTTAATTCTTTGCTAGATCCTTCTCACTAACAAACACATTATACAGTAATTTTGCAAGGATTTACTTGAGATACAACATGAAACAAAACTACAGCAATACATTTAAAGAAAATCATCCCTTTTCAAGGCAGAAATATATTTTCATTCTTCTTATTCTAAGTAGTGTCAAAATCTGGAGCATGAACTTACAGAACTTTACCGTTGCTACGTTTACAATCAACTGTGTTAAAGTCTTAAAGAACTAGATGCTTGAAAAGTTCAGAGAAAGTATTTCCGCAAGGAAAAATGAAAATATATAATGCAGTTTTTTAAATCAGATGCTGTAACAAGTAATTTAAATTTATAAAGTATTTATATAGTAAATGTACATGAAAATGTACATCTAGAAAATACAGAGGTAAAGAAAATCAAAGATGTCTACACTCAAGTCACCTTCTGCATAGAACCCTGGAGGCTTGCAAGCCATAGGGAATCATTGCTCTAAGAACTTTTTCAACAATTATTTTAGTAATTAGCAAGTATATTTTGGCAATATTTAAAGCAATTTGGTGATTAGACAGTTCTAACACTTAGATAGCAGTTAGTTAGCTCTTTCAACAAAACATTCAGGGTCCTAGACAATCCTTCTTCTATAAAATGCACTGTTTGACTTGAACTCACCAATTACTCTACACAGCCCCTCATCTTAGACATATATGTGAATATGGACCTGTCTTGAATTTCAGAATACATGAGCAGCTATAGTTCTAATGAAACCAACTGAGCAGAAAACAACAGATCTTTTTTTTTTTTTCCCTAAATACTACTACCTTTTTTTATGAGAAAGAAGGCTTTCTCTTACAAAAGAAAAGACTAAATGAGAGAAAATGCTGGAAAGAAAATTGCTTAGCCTGTAAATACTTACTGAAATGACCACATGTAGTGGAGGCTACACCTAGCATTCAGAGGAATGACTAAGATCACACAGGGAATTCCCTCGTTTTCCTATGATCTGTAATTTTTTATGGATGTATTAAAATAAAAAATCTGTTGCAATTACATTATTTTGCTGTGCTCAAATGGTACTTTTGCCTTAAGAATATTAATCATGAAGCATAAAATGTCTAGACTAGAAGAGGTTAGAGTGTGCTCTGCCTTTCTGTCAGGAAAAGGATAAGCCATGATGGGAATTAAACCTGAGAAATATGAAACTGAGAATGGCATTCCAAAGCCTTACCACTCACTAAGGTCTAGCAGTTAATTTCCTGGGAATTATGTCTCTATCCAGAACACGACTGGTTCAGTGTTAAAAAAAAAAAAAAAAAAAAAATCCAGAATACCTGAAAACACTGCTTTTGTTTGTAGGTAGTAATATTGAAGATTGGGATTATTGCTGGGCTAAAATGGTCAGCAGGTTCACGTCACCTAGTTCAAAAAAAAAAAAAAAAAAGAAGCTCCTTCACTCCAGGTGTGATATCTGGAATGGTAAGGAGCCTGAAATAATTGGAGAATTTATTTTCCTACTAACTTTTTAATATCCTCCCCCCAAAATAACCAACAGAAGTAGCATCATTAGAACACAACTGAAGAATGGACTTCATAAAAACAATTTTATGAGAAGGCTCTGCCATCAGGGAGCATTAAGTATTATCAACCAGCAACAGCCCCAAAAGCAATGAACATACTAGTCAGAAGGGGCAAAGATTTAATGACTTACAATCTGTAGGTCAACCTTCTTTAGTGCCTCAGTGCCAAACTGCCGAAAGTCAGTCAGTGAAAATGTTAGTATAATGGGGTTGAAAATGTCTTTGAATCTCAGTGGAGAAGCATTTGCGCCCACATCTAAGCAAAACTAGCCAAAATTTGCATCAGAGTATATGATGACTGGAATTCTTCTCATCTCTGAATGGAAAATAAGTAAACTTTATGGACAATGATACAATTCTTTTTTTTTTTTAAATAAAGGACTGTATATAACTATCAGGCCAAACAAACTTCAAACTTCTATTCAAACAAACAGCTATTCATATATGAACAGGACTGTAATAGCAACAACAAAAAAAAATCAGTTCCTACATCTCCGTCTATAAAGGAACTGCAATTTGACATTTTCAAATAGATTAAAAAAGAATCAAAATAATACACTGTGAAAGCACTTGTGTTTCTCTACCATAAGGATGATCAAAAAGGCGACAAATGAACTTGTGCTACAGTCTAAATGAAAACTCTTTTACAATAATACATTGGTAAAATTCCTCCTTTAAACTTACTTGTTCTACATTTACATTTAACAAAATACAAAGTTAAAAGACTAGCATTATTACGATAAAAACTGAATTAATAAATAATTAAGAAGATGCAGTATGTAGGTGTTGCTTTTATTAATTTGTATTAAATGCACATGGCAGTTAAGTGCATTTTCTAGACACCATATCTCGACATATATATTGGAAAACAAAGGCTGTCTGAACACTGTTAATGCTTGAGATCCCAAGAGGAGGAAAATGAACTGGTAAAAAATACTTAAGGGTTATACACTCTGTATTCAAGTTTTAAAGCTTTGGGATAGACGAAAGAGTAGCAGATGCAAAGAACAACAGGGGTCTGATGCTGTATCAAAGCCATAAAAATATACAGCCGTTTTAATGGGCAATTATTCTTTGCATTTGTGCTCTGGTTTGAATGTGTATGAGAGTGCCATATGCCTCCAGAAAGGTGTGTGATCAAAATGAGTCTACCACGCATCGCTCCTCATCTCTCCTCCTCTGCACAAACTATCAGGTCATCTCCCTTCCAAAGTTTTCAAATATTTTATGGTGAGCAATTTTAATGCTACATCACATCTGAACGAGTCTGCAGCTAATTTATGGCAAGGTAACATGACTCTTAGAAAAACAGAAAGACACATGTACTTTGTTTTCACAGTTTAGGAGGATCTCTGCTGCAGAAACATTTTCGAAGTGCTGAACAATAAATTAAAAAGAATAGGTAATAATTGGTAATATGATGAGCAAGGTGGAAGAGAATAACCTAACCTATCATACTATCTGCAATTTCAGGAACAAAATCAGGAATTTATCCTGAGACATCCCGTGTAGTGAGCTTTCACTTGCAAATAATTGTAGTAAGTTTGGCATTCTTTAAAAGAACTGTAAAAAACATGGTCAAGAGGATGCCTCTATATATCTGCATTTAAATAAATGGTCTAAACTTCACTGCAAGTAAAGCGTGAGTTCCATTAACACATATTTCAAAATAAAAAGGGTTTTAAGAGCTTATGTATATTTACATTCTTAAAATGTTAAGAGTCAAACTTGGGTATGTTCATAATGTTTAAAAATAACAAACTGAGAGGATATTTTATCCTCTGTCATATTTATTTTGTGAGAAGATTATCCCTAGGATCTAATTGTGAGTTGACTGAATTCAAAGGATTTTATGCCATGAATCACAAACGCAGGCAGGCCTGGATCCCTCTAGTTGTTTCCTACACCATATATTTGTTTCTGAAACATTTTATTGAAATTAGTGAAAGAATCATTTCCTTACCATTGTACCTAAATGCATGTCAATATTAGACTCTGTTGTTTAAGAATGAATAAATCTGCATTTTGGACAAACTGTTTCTTACAGGACATCCTCATTTGAAATGCATTGAAAAGGAAAACAAAAATCTCTAATTAATGTACAAGTCTAATCACCATTCTCCACATGGAAGAGTAATTTTTCACTGTTCATTTGCTCAGTTTAATCTCAAAACTGACATAACAGAAAAGCAATGGCC